TAATAGACTAGAGATCTCCTAGTCTTAGCTTCCTGAGTAGCAGGGATTTGCAATCTCAGATAAATTATATCACTTCATTAAATTTTTAATGTGGTGCTAAGAATGCTGGGCCTCACACACGACGGGCAAGCTCTCCACCACTGAACCACACCCCCAGCTCCCTCAGTCAATCTCAGAATCTTTCAGTGCTAGTTAGCCTGCCTAGAATAAGATGGGCCAGCCTTAAAGGCACTGTGCTTGAGATGAACCCAGAGCAGCATATTTAAGGGAGAAAGAAAACTCGAGTTCAGAAAAGAAAAAAAAATAAGAGAGAATGTAAAGGTTAGGAGCTAACTCAATGGGTGACGTGCTTACTGTACAAGCAAGCAGGAGGAGGAGGACCTGAGTTTGGGTCCCCAATATTCCACGTAAAACCTGGGCACGACAAGTCAGCCCAGCAATGGAGATGTGGAAACAGGCAGATCTTGGGCTTGATGGCTAGCCAGGCTAGCTTAAATGGTTAACTTCAGATTCAGTGATGAAAGCTTATCTCAGATAAATAAATAAATAAATAAGGTTGGGGGCTGGAGAGAGAGCTCAGCATTTAAGAGCACTCGATGCTCTTGTAGAAGACAGGGCTCCCAACAGCCACGTGGTGGCTCACAACTGTCTTTAACTCCGGTTCTAGGAGATTTGATGCCCTCTTCTGGTCTCTGCAGGTGTCAGGCACTCAGGTGGTGCACAGACATACATGCAGGCAGAACACCCATATACATCACATAGAAAAAAATAATAAAAAGGTGGACAGAAATAGACGAAGACACCCAGTGTCAACCTCTGACCTCCTCATGTGCACACACAGGCAAGGGCATCTGCATGCTGCACATGCGCACACACATACCACACACAGGAAGAAAGAAAAAGAGGGAGGAAGTGGAGAGAATCAGTTGAGAAGGACCTTTGGGTAGGAAAATGGAGTCTTTGGCTAAGCTCCAACACAAATCTAAATGTCAGCAAGCCTAGAGGGAAGGCGGCCAGGGGACCACCCAGGGGACCACCCAGGAAAACGCACAATTTGACATGAGAGAGGGGTCACTCTGGGTTTATGAGGAGCAGAGCAACAGAATCACAGCAACATGTCCTGAGTGAGTTCTGCTGCTGGACAGACAGAAGCAAAAGCGCAGAGCAGGAGTCCGTGGCTGCATGGGGAGGCGTTGGGCGGAAGGGGGGGGGGTCAAGGACATCTGGGATTGATGGATTCTACTACTAGGTGTTAGTTTTATTCTGTTTCGTTTCATTCCATCGGCTGGCACATGTTGCCATCATCAGGCTGCTGGGCTACAGAACCTCTGCACCTATTCTAACAGACTGTTTCAAATCTGTAATAGCAGATAAGCAGTCTTCACTGGTCATTCATTCACTTGGTTATTCATTCATGCACATACACGTCTATTCACCAAATAGTAACAGGCTCCAGAAACATTTGGAAATAAGAGATAACCATTGCTTTTACAAGGTCTCTAGACTTCTGGGATAAACAGATTAAAAAATAACTCTCACACCCAACAGACTCGAAGTACCACAGAGCAGAATGAACCAAATTCCGTGCCAGGGGTTGAGAACAGAGCAGATCAGACTGCATTTGACCAGCAAATGTTTTGTTTGGCCCACATGGTGTTTTACTTTGTTTTTTCTAATTAGGTGCCAACATTTAAAAATTAGGACATTTCACATTTACAACGCAGATTCCTAGCTTCTGGTAAAAATAGGAAGCTCTGCGCACACCAGGCCAAATTCCTCCGCAGTGGGAATTGGCAGGAGCGGAGCAGCAGCTGCCCCTTTCCCGCAGAACGGGAACTTTCCAGTTTGCCACAGTCCTTGCCGCTCCCTATTGCTCTCCGACACAGACGCCAAATGCTTGGGCGCCAGTTATGCCAGCTTGTGCTGTGGGTGCTCTTTTTCATTTATTTTTTGAGAAAGCCACTATGGGGCCTCACTCTGTAGCCCAGGCTGGCCTCAAAATCAGAGATCCACCTGCCTCTGCCTCCTGAGGGCTGGGATTAAGGCGTGGGCTGCCACCATCCCTGGCTGCGGGTGTTCTTATACTAGAGTGAAGAGAAAAGGAATAAAACTGTGCTATTACCCTAGCACTGCTGAGGTTGAGGACCAGAACCCCAGGACCAATCTGGATTACATGAGACCCTGTCTCAAAAAAATAAGAGCAAAAGCACTTTTTTAATGTTTAAAATGTTATTTACTGGGGGCATGCGTACTACGGAGAGCTTCTGGAGGCCAGAGGGACACCTGGCAGGAGCTGGTTCTCCCCTTTACCACGTGAGCTCTGCGGATCAATCTCAGAGCACTGGGCTTGGCAGCCAGCACCTTCAACTGTGAGCACCCTACCGCTCACCTCCAGACAGGTTTTTATTAAAATGAAAGACACTGGCAAGGTGACATGTTTCAAGCACGGTGCAGGAGCATGTCCTGCAAGCAACAGAAATCCCTTATATTTAAGGTGCAAAAGAGTACAGCCTATTCACAATGCTTGCCTGATAGAAACTGAAGGGAGAGGCTGAAAGAACTGGCTTTGGCGTAGGGTAACCTGAGCTGGCAAGCTGGCTCCACCTCGCACACACTTAGCTACACTTCAGCTTCCTTGCTGGAAATTGGAGGTAATTACAGCACCTATCTCAGAGCCTTGGTGAAGAGGCAATGAGGTAGAAGACACAAAGATCTTGGGCAATGTCTGGTCAAGTCAGCATTAGCTGATACTTGTGCAAGCTGCTCCAAAGCCAGTCCTGAGGGATTGTCACACATAGAAAGGCTTCGGGACAGATGGAGTGGTGTCACGACGTACAGACCATTTAGAAGACTCTGTTCTTTTGTCCACCCCCTCCAGAGCTGAGGACCGAACTCAGGCCTTGCGCTTGCTAGGCAAGCGCTCTACCACTGAGCTAAATCCCCAACTCCTCTAGGAAGATTCTAAGTCAGGCCAAGAACTACTCAATAAGCCATAATTTCCCAAAATGTGTTCCTGGCTAATGAATTTTGGTGACAAAATAAAGTAGACATCAAATAGCACTGAATTTTAAGATGGCAAAGTTGTTGTATTGCCATTCTCCTTTATAAAACATTTTTTTACTCTCCATTAGTTATTTCGGTTTTGGAGACAGGGTTTCTCTGTGTAACAGCACTGGCTGTCCTGGAACTCGCTCTATAGACCAGGTTGGCCTCCAACTCACAGAGATTCATCTGCCTCTGCCTCCTAGGGATTAAAGGTGCGCACCACTACACCTGCCCATTTTTACTATTTATGTGTAACAGTGTGTGTGTATGTGTGTGAGGTACACATGCCATGGCGCTGGTGTGGAGGTCGGAGGACAACTTTGTAGAGCTGGTTCTCTTCTTCCACCGGGTTGTCACTGGGCAGCAAGTGCCTTTACCCTATGAGGTAGTTTCCCAATCCAATTTCTTCTGTTTTTTGAGACTGGGCCTCACAGAGCCCAGGTTGGCCCTGAACTCACAATGCAGCTGAGAATGATCTTGAACTCCCAATCCTCCTGCTTCCTCCCCCAGAAGTGCTGGGATCACAGGCTTGGGCCCAGCTTTCTTTCTACCCATTTTCAAACTGTTTTTATTTCTCTGTGCGTAATGTATATGTACGTCAGTATATAAATGTACATGAATATACACAGTTGTGTGCGTGTGATCTGCGGAGGTCAGAGGGCATCAGGTGTCCTCCTCTTCCTTAACCTGGGGCCACCCCTCCCCAGGTAAGTTGATGGCTAGCAAACCCCGTCAATCGTCCTGTCTTAATTCCCCTCTGTAGCAGCATGACAGGCTTGCACAGGACCCCACCTGTCTTTCATGTAGGTGCTGAGATCAGAACTCTCTGCTCTTCATGCTTGTGTAGGAAGTCCTTGCTCTAAACTACTAAGCCCCTTTTCAAACGTTCTAATCGGGAGAGTGTCTTTATGTGATGCTTATCCTACATGTCTCTCTGACCTTAATGGGAATGTCCCACTTGAGACACAGTAGACCACATGGAAACACTCCCTTTTAACAGTACCTAAATGCAAGTTACTCACACGGCTATGTTTGTTCCTACTTAAACGGTTTAGTTATTGCACTTGGGACAATGATATTGATTTTTCATATATGGAATAATTTTCTGCATAAAACCATGTCTAAATAAAAGTAAGGTAGGCTGAACATGATAGCATACGCCTTTAATCCCAGTACTGGGGAAGCAGAAGCAGACGGATCTCTGTGAGTTCAATGCCAGCTTGGTCAACATAGTGAGTTGCAGGCCAGCCAGAGCTTTAAAGTGAGACTTTTTCTCAAAAAAAAAAGAAAAAGAAAAAAAAAAAGGTGAAGAAACTTAAAAAATGTCAGGTAACCAAAATTTGGGCACTTGGAAGATGATCAATGGTTAGGAAGCTGAGAAAACACTGGGGTGGGTGAGAGAAGTCGGGACGGGATTTTGAGAAGAGAGAAGCAACACTGGATCGTGATGATGTGTAAACGCTCCAGCAGGTCGCCACCCTCGGGAGGTCCCCAAGCCCCCTCCAGGAACTCGGTTTCTCTTTCCATTGCGGAGTTTGGAGGCGCAGCATCAGAGCGCTCGGCCAGGCCGCAGGCCCGTTGCCATGGCAACACGCCAGTTCCCGCCGCCTCCCCCGCCATCCCCGAGCGTCCCGCTCCTCACCACTGCTCCGCTTTGTCCCTCCACGTCAACACGGCCCTCATCGCCGATTCCCTCACGCCTCGGGCCCCTCCTCCCTGCCTCGGCAGCAACAGGCTTCTCTCCGCAAACCACTTCGGCTACCTGCGCTACCCTTGGCAACGCACATGCGCAATGAGCCGTGCGTGAGTTCGCAGAGCCCCCAGTGCGCATGTCCAAAAGGGAGCCGGGCTCCGCTTGCTGAAGCGCCGAGCGCGCCGGGACGCAGCAGGCGGAAGCGGAAGTATGACACTCGCGATTGGTCACGGAAGATGGGTGGGGCGGGGCGTCTCGTCGACGGAGGGTGTGATTGGCGGGGCCCTGGTCATGGCGGCCGTAGCTCAAGCGGCGGCGGGAAAGCCGCTGTGCGGACTGACGGATTCGCCCGCCAGTCTTTGGGTCCCGCCCAGTGTTTTGAACTGTGTTCAAGTTTCGTTCCGCCCCTCGACCTGGAGCTGCGGCCGGGGCCCAGTGGACCAGAGCCGCAGGGATGGAGAGCCCAGACCTTGGGGACAGCTTAGCCCCCTCCATCACCCTCAGAGAGAGCCTAGTTCCAGACCCGCCTGGGGACCTCTGGCAAGTCGTTAACCCCTCTCGAGCCTCAGTTTCACCATCTATAGAATGGGAGCAGGGGAATCGCTCTTGTGTGGGTCTTTCTAACCATCAACACGAGGTGACGGACACCCGGAGCTATCGCCCCTGTGGGAACGACTTTGGGGGACTGGGGAGCTTGGAGGACAAGGGAGGTTTTGTGATGCAAGCAGTTAGCCTGGGTCGGAAGGGCCTAGGAAGAAGTGGGAGCAGAAGGTACGTTCAGCACCCATGAGCGCCTCAGAAACAGTCATGTGAAAAGTCACAGAGGAAGCTACTGTTGGGGCTAAAATGATGCACCTATTTGCATGTCTCAGCTCTTGACCGCTCAAAACAATTTTAAGGTCTGGGCACTTAACTAATTTGGCAGTGTTTACCTAGTATACAATAAGCCGCGGGTTCGATCGGCAGCACCGAATAGCCGGGCTTGGTGGCGCAGGCCTGTGGAGGCAGGAGGATCAGAAGTTGAAGATGAGTCTCTGGTACGTGGTGAGTTCAAGGCCAGCCTGGGGTGCATAAAATCTTGTCTCAAAAGCAAACAACAGCAACAAAACCTTTTTTTCTTTTAATTCCTTCGTTCAAGGCCAGCCTGGGGTGCATAAAATCTTGTCTCAAAAGCAAACAACAGCAACAAAACCTTTTTTTCTTTTAATTCCTTCCTTTTTACAGATGGAGGGAGGAGATTTTGAGTTCAAAGTGCCTTTCTCTTGGGAGCTCAGCCTATAGCAGATGGCAGAGCTGGCTTTTTCCACCCAGCTTATTAACCTAAGTGTGTGGTGGTTCCCCCAGGTTTCAGTTACCTTGTCTCTCTCTAGACGATCTTTCTAGCTGATAGTTAACCCCAAATTCCATCAGAGTGCTGTGGTTCTAACTGTGGTCATTCACTAGTTCTTACCTAGTTTCCCTATTGTAGGAAGCAGGTTGGGACTCGTTTGCTTTTGTTTTAAGATTTACTTTATTTCCGTGTGTCTTTATATGTGTACACAGGTGTTGGTGGAGACCAGGGGAGGGTGTCAGACTCACTGGAGCTGGACTTGCAGGCTGTTAGGAGCTGCCTGATGTGGTGCTGGGTACTGAACTGGGGTCTGGAATATTCGCTCTTAACCACTGAGCCATTTCTCCAGACCCTCACCTTTTAAAATATATAGTGTAGTGATTAAAATACA